GGCGAGGGATCTCTGGCAGCGTGTCCCTCCTTCCTCCCGGGTTTCGGCACCAATGTAACAACGTTCGTAGGTCGGGAAGAAGGAAACGGGAACTGGCGCACATTTAAAGAAAACTTTAATAAAATAAACAAACACAAAATGAAAGTAAAGCGGCAGCCCCTCGCGGATGACTGCCGCACACAAAACACAAAATAAAATCCAGGCCTGGTCCTCCCTCGTCCAACACTGTCGTCACTCCTCCTTTTATCCTTTCCGGAGCTCCTCCGTGGCGCAGGTGTCGCGCATTAGCATTTACTCCACCGGCCTCGCTCCGTTCCCACGGCCCCACCCCCACTCGTCACATAGTGAAATAATTTAAATGTCTGTCAGATACTGTAATGTACCTAATACACAACACACTTGGGTATAAATTTCTTCTTCACTTGCAGAAACTGACAGGGGTTTTTTATAAAATGTAGATCACTACCATCTCATTTGTTTAAAAGATTACTGCAATTATGAAAGCTTCATAAAATGTTGTTTCATTTTCCAATGCATAAAAGATACATGATTTGTTACATTTAAGTACCCCTTAGCAGATTTCGACATATTTTTTAACATAAGATTTTAACCAAAGTGATTGTAAGAGAAAATTATTAAAAATATAGTTTCTTTCATTTATGGAAATAAGCTTATCACTAACTATAAACTAACATTTCATCACAACCTAGTCAGCTGAGTGACAGAAAACATAATTTAGTCTAAATTTGCAATGCTGTTACCTGCCACTAATTTACCCATTGTGGCATAGCTGTTATTATTATTATTATTTAAATCTATTACATTTATTTGTATTTTTCTTTAATTTTGTTTAATTAATAGTTAGTGATTTTTTAAATTACATTTTTTATTTTATTTACTAATATTTTTTTGATTTACATTTACAAATAAAATAATATGCATAAATAAAAATAAAAATAATAAGTCATTAATTTGTTGGGGAAAAATCCTATTTAATACCGCATTTGTAGAAAGTGGCTATAGTTAATGTGTGTTAGTACAGACTTACCGGTACAATCTGAAAGTGTTTGATTTTCTGAGTATGGCACAGTGACAGAACAAATGTCCTCGGGTTACTTTGACTGTCCCTTACCAGAAACACCCTGAGAAGAGAGAAACAAATGACTTCATTCAGATTTAGAAATGCAGAAGCTTCAATTCAGTGCATCTTTAAAATCAAGTGCTTCAAAAATGGCATCACAATACTAAATAAAAATCGATATCGTCAGAATTTTAAATGAATATACCCATCGATGAGGCCCTGCTGAGTGATTAGTTTCTGAGCCTCGTCCCGGGACAGTTTGCTGTGAAACCACGGCTGAGCCACATGGATAGCTAGAGAAGATAATGATATCCTTATGTCAGACAGAAGAAGGATCATCAGGTTTTTACTCTGTTTTGTTGACGTGTGTTTGTGTGCTGACCTATGCTGGACATGGAGCTCTGAGAGGTGGACGGACTACCATGAGAGCTCAGCCTGTGGCAGCTTTTCCTCTAGAGAAGAAGAGAACACACATATACAGTATATATAATACTTTTTTTTTTTTCTTTTTTTTTTGGCGGTCTGAACAAATAATGCATCAAAAAAAAAAAAAAAAGATATTGAAAAGTACAACGAAAGCAATAATTTTGGTTAATTGTTCAACCTGGAAGAGTGAAACAACTCTAATGCAGTTTTAGTTACTTTAAGGCATAGTTCACCGAAAAATACAATTCTGTCATCATTTACTCACCCTCAAACCTGTATGAGTTTCTTTCTTCTGTTGAACACAAAATAAAATATTGTAAAGAATGTTGGTAACGAAACAGTTGATGGTAGCCATTGACTTCCATAGTATGGAAAAAAATACTATACAAGTCAATGGCTACCGTCAACTGTTTGGTTACCAACATTCTTCACAATATCTTATTTTTGTTCAACAGAAGAAAGAAACTCATACAGGATTGGAAAAAATTTAGGTTTAATATACAGATGCTATGAAAATATCTGTGCACAATGTTCATAATCTAGTATGTAGCGTGTTGTTTGCGAGTATGTTACCCTCCACGACAGACCCTCCTCCACAGCCACTGACAGCGCCTCGGACGGGTTCTCGATCACCCGACTCTTGTGTCCTGAGAAGTCCATGGCCACCAGTGAGTTCTCCGAGATGCTCCTCTGAAAACATATGCAAAAATGCAATAGTGAATCTCACAGAAAACATGATCAGATTACATTTCACACCAAAAAATTCAGAATTTCTAAATTCAGCATCATATATGACCCTGGACCACAAAACCAGTCAAAAGGGTCAATCTTTTTAAATGTATACATCATATGAAAGCTTTCCATTGATGTATGGTTTATTAGGATCTGACAATATTTGGCTGAGATACAACTATTTGAAAATCTGACTATACAAGTCAATGGCTACCGTCAACTGTTTGGTTACCAACATTCTTCACAATATCTTATTTTTGTTCAACAGAAGAAAGAAACTCATACAGGATTGGAAAAAATTTAGGTTTAATATACAGATGCTATGAAAATATCTGTGCACAATGTTCATAATCTAGTATGTAGCGTGTTGTTTGCGAGTATGTTACCCTCCACGACAGACCCTCCTCCACAGCCACTGACAGCGCCTCGGACGGGTTCTCGATCACCCGACTCTTGTGTCCTGAGAAGTCCATGGCCACCAGTGAGTTCTCCGAGATGCTCCTCTGAAAACATATGCAAAAATGCAATAGTGAATCTCACAGAAAACATGATCAGATTACATTTCACACCAAAAAATTCAGAATTTCTAAATTCAGCATCATATATGACCCTGGACCACAAAACCAGTCAAAAGGGTCAATCTTTTTAAATGTATACATCATATGAAAGCTTTCCATTGATGTATGGTTTATTAGGATCTGACAATATTTGGCTGAGATACAACTATTTGAAAATCTGGAATCTGAGGGTGCAAAAAAACAAAATATTGAGAAAATCGCCTTTGAAGTTGTCCAAATGAAGTCCTTAGCAAAGCATATTACTAATCAAAAATTAAGTTTTGAAAAAAAAGCCTTTATTCAGAGGCCCAAACTGAGCAAAAATATGCAATTTGGTACAGATGCTGATATTTAATTTTAGCTTCAGTTTTCGTTTTAGGTAACTATAATAACCCTGACTCTGTGGTACAGGTTCATGTGGTTTCATGTTAATGTATAAAGTTTGTAAAATGCATAAATTATTAAACGAATAAAATTTCAGCTGTAAAGCAGCTCTACAGAAGATAATAGTGTTATTAGACTGTCTATGATTTCTATGAATCTACGAACAGTCATTTGAACTCATCTCTGCTCTTAAAGGGTTAGTTCACCCAAAAATGAAAATTAGCCTGTGCTTTACTCACCCTCAAGCATCCTAGGTGTATGTGACTTTCTTCTTTCAGACGAATCCAATCGGAGTTATATAAAAAATTGTCCTGGCCCCTCCAAGCCTTTCAATGGGGGTAAGCGGGTGTTGGTTGTCAACAATTGAGAAGACGTGAAATAAAGTGCGTGCATCCGTAATAAAACATGCCTCACACGGCTCCGGGGTGAATAAAGGCCTCCTGTAGCAAATCCATGCATTTTTGTAAGATAAATATCCATATTTCAAATGTAATAAACACTTGTTTCTCACTTCCGATGACTGTGGTACGCGGAAGACATTCAGGCGGATGACGTAGGACGTATGCGCACCTCTGAGAAATGCAGGAGCAAAAGAAACAAAGTTTTTAGCAAAGGAAAACCAGTCTCCTCTTGGCTTATATCGAAATCCTCCGACATTTTTCTTTACAAATCCGAACTAACCCTTTAAGGGGCGGTCACACTGCACTTTTTATTCCATTGACTTCCATTCATACAGATGCAAATGCGTCAGACCGGAAACGCAAGCTTGTGCGAAAGGTTTCGCATTTCGCTGCATTCCAAAGTTCAAGCTTGGTGAACTCTGACCTGCGAATTCGCATCACGTGAAACCGCGTGACCAACAGCAGATCGACACGTCACAGCATGAGATCGTAGCTGAATTAAAAGAACATCAAATTAAAACTGCAGCGCTGCAGGAAAGTGGAGTAGACCATATGTTTTTACATTTTAGAAGTAGTATTATTATTAGTATTAAGCCCCGTTCACACCAAGAACGATAACTATAAAGATAACTATAAAGATAACGATATTAGCGTCCACACCAGCGAACGATATCGTCTGTTTATTCTAAGCGCACATGCGTCTGCCGCTTTAAATTCTTGAGCTCGTTACAGCAGGATAGATTCTGATTGGCTGTCAGTGTTTTATCGTTCATCAGCTGGAAAAAAATAGTTTTGAAAGTGATTCCAACGATATCGTTCCTCTGTATCGTTATCGTTATAGTTGTGGTGTGAACTATGCTATTCTTTAATATTGAGAACGATTTTTAGAACTATATCTTTATCGTTATCTTTATAGTTATCGTGCTTGGTGTGAACGGGCCTTTATTGTTATGAGTTGAATTTAGGTTTTTAAAAGAGAAGCTGCAGAGCGTGATGTCATATTATGACCGTTGCAGCATACAAAGAAAATTTGCATGCTCAAAGACTAGTGTGACCGCGGCTTTAGTCTGAGAGGGATTTTGTTATTTTTCTACATGAACACTGGTTACTTTGTTCATGCGCCTCTTAAGGATGTTGAGTTGTGAAGGGTTTACAGCTGTGCTGGTTTTCAAGAGCACACTCACTTATCAAACAAAAGAAGCATTTCCTTTCCACAGTGATCCCTATAGCGAGAGAAGCAGTGATTATGACTTCTGAAAGGTCCTTAATCTCAGCCGTGTGTTCATATCCATACAAACGCACTAATACACGAGCGGTGAGGGTTTATGACACTGGATGACAGAATAATTCCACAAAGACAACAGCTTCACCTCATTCTGCATCGACTGCTTCTTTGTGTTTGAGTAAGAAAGTGAAAGAAAGTAAATCCAGACACAGAGAGCTGAGTCTCATGAAGCCTGTCAAGAACACGTCGTGTCATACTTAGTCCCCAAATCAAACGAAATAAGAAATTATATTTAGCATATTTTGTGAAGCATATAAGTTGAGCTCATTGTTTTTAATGCAGTGACTGATTTGAATTGCAACATTATTTTCGTGATAAATAAAGAAAAGTGGCTGTGGCCTTTAAACATCCAGAAAACAATTTCTTGTTAAATTTGCCGCTTTTCATGTTTTGATAAATGAGGTTTTAATCAACTGGATGATAGTGAATACAGGATAATTAATTTATTATGAATGCATATGATGAAATGTGCAAAACTGTCTTCAAAAATAATGTCAATTTTATAATAATAATAATAATAATAATAATAATAATAATAATAATCTGGGTACTCAATGGGGACATTTTGAGTCTCCCCCTCCCTTTCCTCACAGTGCTTTGGTCCAAACCTGCTTTCCTCTTTTACATCACCCACACACACACAAGTCCGGTGAGCTACAACAAAGCCAATAGTTGTGGAACTCCAGTAAGTAAGGCTGTCAAGGATATTTTATTCACTTAAACATCGGATGAAGTGATTATTTTCTCTTTAATACAGATGATGCCAATGTATTTTTCGATGAGTCCGCTATGTTAGCAATAATAACGTTACCTGCTTGAGGGAAAGGGTTGCCAGGTTTTCATAACAAAACCTGCCCAATTGCTACTCAAAACTAGCCCAAACTATCCGCGTTTCAAGGGGGTCCCCCGGTAAAAATTGCGTTCCAGGGGCTAAAATACACGTTATTGGGGTCGCTTCAACCTGCGGACATGAAAAACAACCCGCGGCAACAGTGATAAAGTAGCCCAATTCCACGGGAAAACCGCGGACTTGGCAACACTGTGACGGATAGTAATGTCTACAACGGACACGAGCGCTGTCACAGCGCGACCACAACAGTTGTTGTTGTCTATGAAGATGTCTAATTTGGCACAGTCTCCCTGCTGCACTAATAGTAAGCCATTCCTCTGTGTATACATATCCATACAAGTACAATTTTAGCTGTATTATTTGTGTCCCCTTCAAAAATTGCTCTTGAGAAATTTTGTTTATTGTCCCCCCCTACTGTTAGACGAAATCTATGCCCCTGACCCCTACTCTTTTTGAAAGACATCCTGGGATTTTTAATGACCACAAAGAGTCAGGATGTCAGTTTAACGTCTTATCCGAAGGACAGTGCTTCTTACAGTATAGTGTCCCCATCACTATACTGAGGCGATAGGACCCACACAAACCACAGGGTGAGCACCCCCTGCTGGCGTCCCTAGCAACTCTTCTAGCAGCAACCTAGTTTTCCCAGGAGGTCTCCCATCGAGGTACTGACCAGGCTCAACCCTGCTTAGCTTCAGTGGGCAACCAGTCTTGGGCTACAGGGCGATATGCTACTGTAATTTTAATTACAGTATTGCAAAAAAATATGTAATACTCATAACTGAATTGAAAAAATATACATATATTTAAACTGTAAAGTATTTATACCTCATTATAGTGTGTGTGTGTGTGTGTGTGTGTGTGTATACAAGATAATCTATCCACCTTTTTCTTCAATGCGGAAGGTAAGCCTATGGGTGAGACTTCCGGTTCATTAGCCGCTATAGGTAAATAACGAGGAGAATAACAACTATGGATGCTCTGATCCGCCTTTTTCGCCTCCGATACCGATTCCGATACCTAGGGTTCGGTATTGGCCGATACCGATCCGATACCAGTGAAGTTTTTTCCCCTCATTTAAATAAATGTAGAATTTATATATCTCTGTGTGTGGAACTGATAATCATTCTTTCACAATCTACTAGATACAGACTACTTAATTATAAAGAAAAATAAAATAAACAATAAATATGAAAAAATATAGGCCTATGTATATTTATAATCTATGACAAAAATGTATCATAAACTAGGTTAGTGGATAATTCGGCAGCAAAAGTTATTCTAGAAAAACCAGTGCACAATAATTTTAGAAATCCAAACATTTAGTGAAAAAACAATATTTTGTGGGGAACAAATAAAAGTGTTGCACTAAATATGGTAAAATGTTACACATTGCTATTTGTATTATTATAAAATACATTCATTAAAAACATTCATATATATGTTTAAGTATATACTATAAAATTAAAATAAATTTCTTTTAAATGTATAGCATATTTTTTAATAAGGCAACAACATATGATAGATACGATAGGACAAAACAAATACAGTGCAGCACAAACTGTTTTTAAATAACAACGTGCAGTAAACGGTAAATCTGTTTGCACTACAAACCATAATTAAGATAATAAATTAAAATAATATGATAAGACACACCAACTTTTGATATCAAGCAGCAAAACGAACTGTTTTGTTCAGCTAAAAATAGCTGGACGGAGTGGACGTAGATGAGACCGGAAGCCAGACCCAGAGAATTTACAAATGGCCACGCCCATTTTTATGTCAAGAAAAAGGTGGATAGAAAAATGTAATACAATTTAAATTCAATATTATAAAAAAAAAAAAAACATGCATTACAGGAGTTAGAATTTAGTGGAGATCTTTATTTTTATGATAAAATATATGGAGGCCATAAAAGACCATGATTATTATTTTCTAACATAAAATAATATTATTCTTTTATTTTATAACATAATTTTCTAGCAATCTTGAAATAACAAAAGCTGTTTTCTTGTGATCTGGACTTCATTTTCTCACAACTCACCATTTTTCTAGTCATCTGCAAACCATTTAATCATCATCTGTCAAACATCATTCTATAAGCATGCAGACATTTTGGTTTCTCGAGTCGGCTCGGCTGGCAATGAAATTGACCGCATTGACCCTATAGTGCAGCCTTCATCTCAAGTGTCAGTCACTGATTCAGAAGTCTGAATATCACTTACAGACATCTTGATATCAAGCAGCAAAACGAACTGTTTTGTTCAGCTAAAAATAGCTGGACGGAGTGGACGTAGATGAGACCGGAAGCCAGACCCATAGAATTTACAAATGGCCACGCCCATTTTTATGACAAGAAAAAGGTGGATAGAAAAATGTAATACAATTTAAATTCATTATAAAAAATAAAAAAAAACATGCATTACAGGAGTTAGAATTTAGTGGAGATCTTTATTTTTATGATAAAATATATGGAGGCCATAAAAGACCATGATTATTATTTTCTAACATAAAATAATATTATTCTTTTATTTTATAACATAATTTTCTAGCAATCTTGAAATAACAAAAGCTGTTTTC